TCGACTCTGCATTCTCTCATTAACGGTTCCAAAGTCTAACGGGTGAAAAAAACCTGTGCAAAGTCCACGACCTGTCCTTGAAAGGAAGATCTATCGATATTTAATTCTTTCACGTTGGCTATATTTTCTTTCGAGAAAACATGGTGGATTCTTATTCTGTCTAGCACTAGGGTTTCATTGCACACAACATCAAATCCCCTCTAGCAGTTATTCACCGAACCATGGCAGACTAGCAATACGTTTATGATATCCTTCAATCTCATATATTCCCTTGCCTTCCAGGGTTCCCAGAAAATTTTTGAAATTTTCGAAAAAGACGATGCTCAGCTATACGCAGTAAGGGTGTCATACGACTGACTTCTCACTATTAATACACTTTCTTGAATCCACATGTTCCTCAGATTTATCACTGATTGAAAGTTTGTTGGATGACCAGAGTCAACAAGTTTTACAGTGTAGAAGTTTGGTCGAATCAGAGGCAAGCCTACAGCAGATGATAAATGAGATGTCTCAGGATACCAAAAGAAACTTGTATGCCACAATGCTCGACCTTACTGTATCGTGCATTGAACTAGAAGTGGCCTAACGAAGTACTAGTTCTTGTATTTCTGTGTCAGTTTTCCTCTCATAAAATTATTTTTTTTCTTTTATTTTGTAATCACTTACTTTTATCAACATTACAAATTCTTATTTAAAATTTCTAATGTTTCTGACAATTCCTTTTTGGCGAGCTAATTTTTTTTGTCAACAAGTATAATTCAAATTTATACATGCAGTTTAATAATATTTAAAAAAAAAGGCCTTCCAATGAATATTTTTAACATAGAAATGAATATATTTTACAAATATATTATATTTATTATGAATAATTTGTAAAATAATTATGACAACTTTACCAGCTAACCTATTTTATCTAGCATAAACTAAAAAAATATTTAATGAACAATTAAAGAAAACTTTTAGAATATAACTTGCCATGGTAGAAATTTAAAAACCCCCATAAATTAAGAAAATAAATACATTAACTATAGATTTGATAAAATAAATTCGGTATTATTGCGAATTTCAACACTTAGTTATCACTTTTATAAAATTCTTATGGCATGTTTAACTTAATTCTTTTTTTACAAGAAGTTATACTGCATATTGGGAATTCAGTTTTCTTTAAACAACTAATCAAAGATTTTTGAAACAAAAAATATTCACAAGAAATATTTGAGAATTTAACATGTTTACATAATCATGTCAAAGAAATTTCATAATTAAGTAAAATATTTGCACTCTTTTATCATTTTTTATTCAGGAGATGTATTTTTATTTACTTATGCTAAGGGCTTTAATTCATTTTCTTTTTTCTTTTTCGTTTTTTTATTAGAACCAAACTTATCGTAAGATTTTAATAACTATGCTCTAGTTAGCTGTTTTCGAGAAACGGATAGTTATTTTATCAAGGAAAATAATTTTATTGTAAAAAAAAATATATAAAATTGGAAATATATTCTTTATTAATTTATATTTTTGCAAATAAATGTAATAAGAAAATAAAACTCTTTTATTATATAACCCAGACTGTGAATGATAAATATTCACATTAGCATTAAAATTCATTCAAATTCTTAAGAGAATGATTTGAATGCTATTAACAATCAAACTATTCGTTTCAGGGAATATTTAACTTACTTTATATTATTATTTCTTTGAAAGAAAATTTAATGTATTTCATATAACTATTCCTTTAAAGGGAGGATTAAGCATTTTATATAACTATTTCTTTAAAGGAAGGAATTAAATTTTCTAATTGAAAACAATACATCTGTTATCAAATCTTTTATTATAACTAAAAGTGTATTATTATATTCTCAAGATTAAACCAGTGATTTTATTGATTAAACCAGTGACTTACATTTTTAATTTTGCTAAAGGCATAAGGGTTTGAACAAAATTCCTGCTGACCCCTTGATAAGAGAAAAGATTCTCACGAGGCTCCTTGAACAAGTTCACCCCTTGAACAGGTGAACCCTTGAACATTCCCTCTTCATCCCTTTTCTGGGCCGGAGAGGTTCGTGGGATTTATTTATAAAAAATAAATAAAATAAAAGATAAAAAAATATATCTGTTCGGAAATTAAATTCTTTATTTTTTATCAATATTCAGGGAGCAACTTTTTATTAGAGAGATAAAATGGGCGAGATAATACTGGATGAGAGAATGTGAAAGACACGATTTGTACATAGACTGCCCCTTATGAAATGATACGTAATTAGGGTTCTTAAAGATTTTGCTGAGACTGACTGTCTGACAACTTTTTTGTCTGACAACTCTGACTGTCTGACAGCTCTGACAACCTTTGAGAAGTACTAAAATACATCTTGAGGGTAATGAGACAGTTTTATATAGCCTGCTATATTTGTGTATAGACTGTCGTATTTGGACTTGTTGTATGGATTATTGTATTTGAACTTGTATAGACAGTTGTATATTGATTGTCACATACAGATGATATGCATGTGGTGTTTTTAAGGATCTTGCCGATACTAACAATTTTTAAAGATCTATGAATTTGATTTTGAGAAGCGCTGCACCAATTATTCTTGAGGATAACTGCGACTTCGAACTTGTTTTTATGCTTTCATCCCCATCAACTAAATTCAAAATGAGGTATCTTAAATCTAGGAACCTTGTTGTGAAATGCTTTTATACCATACCACAACACTGTTACACCATACCAAGTCTGATTTTTCAACAGATTATTTGTTGTTCGCGAGGTAACAATTTTTAGAATTTACGATGTACCATCTGAAAAGAAAATAATCAAATTAAAACCAATTCGACGACGAATTTTGCGTAATGATAAACATAACAGACTTAACAATGGAAATTAATTGATTACTTGTTAATCAGATATACGCCACGTAAAGCTGTTTTTAAAAAAAAGTATAATAATTAATGGGAAATTTTTTTCATGTAGTTTTTTAATATTGTGTTATCTGAAATTTTAATTATTAATAATTAAAATTCTTTTTATTGCAATTAAAATCCCTCCTTTTACATTTTCTCTTGTATAATTCTTTGAATCTTGCTTTTTGCTTTTTTTGAATCTTGTTTTTTGATTTTTTTGAATCTTGTTTTTTGCTTTCTTTGAATCTTGCTTTTTGCTTTCTTTGAATCTATCCGACTTGGCTGCTTGCCAAGTTTCTACACTATGGTGGTCGAATTTATATCTGTCAAAGGAGTCATTTGTTTAAAAAGTAAACAAAACAGTTTCCTTAAAAGCAAACGTTGTAACAGCAACTGACATTATTTGATGCATTTTGGTCGAAGAAATACCTATCTATTCTCCAATTCCTAGAAAACTATTGGATGGATGTTGTTTTTCATCCAATGTTTTTCGTCCTATTCCCTATTGTCACAAGGCAACAGTTTCTGAAAACGAGAGGCTATTTTGAATAAATTTGTTGTTAGAAGTTTGCCGTCAATTAAACAGAAATGTTCTTCACAGTTTAGAGATGTTTTTAAAAAATTTCTTGCAGTAGAAGTTTATGTAAAATAAATTTCTAATCTCCAAAAAAATGTACCCATACCATTGAGAAAGAAATTTTTGAAATACATGTAAACTCCACCAAAAAGATACATATAAAATCAAAATAAATAAATAAAAACAATGAAAATAGATGAAGATAACTCACTTATTCAAAACACAATAAATAATCGACGGGGCAGATATGCAGGTTACCTATAAAATTAAAAAAATAATAATGAAAGAACAAAACACGTAACAGCAATCTTAAAAAATAAAAGAACAGAAAAAACATAGAATTTTAAACAATTTTCTTTTCTTGAAAATTCTCATTTTCACTAATAATAAAATAGCCTTTCATTCTTCAAACGATTGTTTAGAAAAATGTTACATCATTTAGTTATGTAATTATTAGCAACAAAAAAAAATTTAAATAAATATGATGTATAAATAGCTCATAAAAAGAAATTTTAATAAACCAATACTAATAGCTCATGAAAGAAATAAAAAAAAAAACCCAATAAGAAACGTTGAAAGTGATCAAGGAAACAAAAAACTGATCAAGGACACGATAAAGTGATTAAAGAAACGAAAAACCCCTCTCCCCAAAACAATACCCATAATCTTATGGGTAAAAACGAGGAACAAAACATTTAAAGTTTTAGAACTTTAAAAACAAATTTTGAATTAGAAAGGAAACATTTTAAGTTAATTTAATTATTAATTATTTACTGCCTTTAATTTTTCACTTGCGTATCAGCATTTTTTATTCTCACTAACCCTTGACATTTATCAAGATGTATTGGATGTACAGATACTCCTGTAATACACGTAAATTTGAAGATAAGAAAATGTAATATAAATAAATATTTAGCCTAGGTTAAAAACTGGCATTTCCTGTTTTTAACTGAAAAGTGTAACTACATGGTGTCTTGAGAAATTGGAGATACAACCCCTTATTATTTTAAATTAAGTAAAAGCTGATAAAAGCTTAAAAGTATATAAGCTGACGCATTAATTTGTTCTTTTTTGAGAATTATTAATGATTTATTGCATTTAATTTTTTTTGTGTATCAGTATTTTTCGTTCTCACTAACGATTGACATATATCAAGATGCATTGGTTCAAAAAATCCTGTAATACATGTAATACATTTGAAGAAAAGAAGAAAATGAAATATAAATAAATATTTAGCCTAAGTTAAAATCCGGCTTTTCCTGTTTTTAACTGAAAAGTTGTAACTACATGATGTCTTAGGCCTTTTTGCAACACTTTCTTATTTTAAATTTTTCCAGCTGTTTAATTTGATAGTTTTTATGTATTGTATTTAAACAATTTTTTGATTAGAAAAGTAAGGTACTTAATATAAGCTGACCTTTTTTTTGCAAACAAAATAAACATCTTGTTATTGATTTTATAATAGTTAGAAATATTTCGTTGCGGTACATTTATTTGTCTATATTGTGTAAAAAAGACACAAGCCAACGGCCATACCATGCTGAATATACCGGTTCTCGTTAGATCACCGAAGTCAAGCATCGTTGAGCGCGGTCGTGTACTTGGGTGGGTGACCACCTGGGAACACCGCGTGCCGTTGGCATTCACAAATTTGGGACCTGAATGGCCGAGTGTCTAGCGCTCTGGCGCTCGGTGCCACAGGTTTCGGGTTCCGAAACCCGGCGGTGCCATGGATGTATGTAGTGGTTCGGAATCCACTTTAAGCTGTAGGTCCCAGTCTCCTATGACTGTAAGAGCGTCACGGAGCCAAAGTCAGACTTCTACCTACGGGTGCTCCATCACAACAGAAGCTGCTTCCTTCCCCTTCAATCATGAGTACGTATGGGCTCTTGGGCTTGGCCAGCCAAGTGGGATAAGAAACAACAACAACAGAGACACAAAAAGAGTGACAATGCACAACAATTAATTCAAGATAAACTTAAAATTAAACTTAAGTTTATCTTGTGTTAAAATTAACATAAGATAACTTTATATCAGTGATTCAAAATTCAATAGCCTTAATAATTCTTTTTCTGTTGATTCCTGGAATATATCAACTTACATTTTACAAAACGTTCATATAAACTCTAAAACAAAAAGCGCTCAGAATACTTTTCTACTCGAGTGAGAAAAATCATTTCCTGGAGATTGTTCCTTAATCTTACAAATTCGGGAAAAAAAAGGTTGTACATTTTTTCTAAATTTATCGGCAAATCGAGTTTTCAAAATGACATTTTTATTTGACAATTTCTATCTGCCAATTACTTCTAAATGGTAGTATGAGTTTCGATAGATATATTTATTCTCTTTCTAAAATATCTTTCTTATTAGAAAAGCTAACTTGTCCGTTTTTCAGAGTATAGTATATTTTGATTGTTCTTTTTTCCTATTTACCTGCATATAAATAAGATTGCATATTTCTGTATACTAATCTGTTAGGAAAGAGGCAAATGTAAAATAAAGTAGAAAATCAATAAAGTCTCGAGTAAAGGAAATTTATAAAATTTTTGTTTTGCATTTTCACCAATAAATTATTTTTTATCCTTCTTGTTTTCCCAAGCTTCAAAGAAAACAGGAGACGAATTCCCCTGATAACCTTCTTACAGAAATGTTTGTTTATTGGGTCTTGAAATGAAGCCGAAATTTATTCATGAGTCTCATTTCCTCCTAAGCTTCAATTGAATGGCTTGCGTCGTAGATAACTGACTTATTCATATATATTGCTTTACATTTCAAAGTGATATTGCAGAGTAAACAAATCTCGACATTTGCTTGAGGAAAGGGATTTTTGGTACCTGAGAATTCTTAAAGGATTTATAATTATGAATTAAGTTCGATATCTCTACATAGTTTTAAGAATCAGTCCAAATTTTTATTCAAGAGTAAAAAGAATAATGCGATATAATATTGTAATCAAATTAATAAATAAGGCAAATATTGATAAAACTATGCATATCCAATTTTTCAATAAATAAAAATAATTATTTTTTAATGCTTGTTCATTCTGGCAATCAAAATTGGTCAACATTACCTATCTTAAACAAGAAATCTTATAATAAATATTTATAAAAATATTTTGATAACTTATACACTATAGTTATTGACGAAACACGCATACACACACAATGTTAACTTAACACAAACATTAAAAGGACTATATGTGATTCTTCTACCAAAGAGGTTTTAAAATTAATTTGATCAATAAACCTCATAGAAAATATAGTAAAAGACCTAGACCCCTTTGTGAGTAAAGGTGATGGTGACAAACAAAGTGCCATTTTTAAACACAATTATGTTGTAACATATGGCTTTATTGAAAACCAATCTATTACAATAAGGATCACACACAACGAAGGAACATGCAGATTAAACACAATTATAAAGTGACCTATTTCACTGTAATTAAGTTTAAAAATGTATATAAAAAAACATGAAACTGTAGCATATGAATAATTGGAGGATAATTTCATGTTATACAGTTAGTCGGTAATAATTGTGTGATTGCTCGATGATTAAAATAGTATTAAAAAAACTGCATGAAAATAATCAAAATTAGTATACTTTAAATGCAGCCAAGACAGTTTTTTTTCTCTCGTTTCTATAAAACTGTGTGTCTCAGTTTCTTTTTCAAACATGGCCAAATGGTTAGAATCTTACATATTATACTTGTTTAGTTAAAGTAATTTTACTTTATAAAATCATCTGTGTGCATATTATATTTGTATATTTAAGGTAATTTACTTTATAAAATAATTTATGCTAATGTATATATTTAAGGTAATTTTACTTTATAAAACAATTTACGTGGGTGTATACATTATGTGTGTATATTTAGGGTAAACTAATTTTGAAACAATTTATTATTTTATTCCATACGCATGCCAATTTTTAATTTGCATATTCCCTGATATTTTTTACGTGAATATCAATTATTTAGCTATGCACTTTGCTTATTATCTTTTCTCAGACGTAATATCTTGCTGCTTTTTATATTTCCATTGTTCATAATTTTGCAGCATCTGCTTCTACTGTCGAATTATTTATTAGTCGTTACTCCTCTTCTATTTATTCTTTCAATGCATTTTAATTTATTTGAGGAATATCCCTTCCGCTCTCTGATTTATATATTCTCCAATGTTGTGTTTATTGTATTGTATTGCTTTTAAATTTTTCAATAATTTACCTTATGTATTCTTTATATTTTTATATATTCTCGCACTTCATATTTTTCCCTTTCAAATGTTAAGTTTTTTGATATTTTCCACTGTTTTTTTCCTCATTGTTCAACTTCTATAACGCCAAAAGGGAATTTTGCAAAATTTTCCCGCCTCTTTCGTCTGTCCATTCAATTTCACCCACATCAATCCCAAACTGTATAGGCCATCTCAGCTCTAGGCACAGTGATGTGGTTGTAGTAGTAGTAGTAGTAGTAATAGTAGTAATAGTTAGAATCCTAAGGCCGTTAGACCTACGGCGAGACACTTTCATGTTTTTTTTATAAGCTAGTAAATATTTAAAAAAACATCTTCATATTTTTGAATTTACAGTTTTTTGTATCATATCGTATGCATTAGAATTTGCAAGCACACTACATTAACTATTATATGTTTATCATTTTTAAAATAAAAGTATTAATTATTAAAAACTATATGAAACACATAGTTATTTATTTTTATTACATGTTTAAACTTGATTGCCTCTATTAAATAATTTGAAAATTGTTTCAAAGCCGTTTTCTTCCAAATTTTCTTCTGAAATAACATTTTGCATATGATGCTGAAAAATACAAAATAATGTATAGACTTTTTAAAAGACAAAAGAAATTTTTGCACCTGAATTGTAAGCTTTATTTCAGTTTATTTATTATTTTTTTTGGCGCACAGGATTTCATTGCTGTTTTCTCTAGCCTTCAGGAAAACGAACCGTAGCAGAATAGTTGTTTTGGGAATATATCCTACACCAGACGCAATTCATGGAATGTGGTGAAATACCAATTTCAACATTTCCTCGAAAGAACTGAAGACGCGTAGAAAAGAAATAGCTGGAAAGAAAAAATTCATAAAAAATCTTGCATTTTGGAAAAAAAAGTATATACTTTACAGATTCGTTTTAGTTGGTTTCAAATTGTGATGTCAAATGTGTATGCATACAGACCTCTCATGGTGTACCTGGTTTTGAGTATTGTTATAGTCCTACCATGGTGCACCTGGTATTGATTATTTTCATAGTTCTATCATTGTGCACCTGGTTTTGATTATTTTCATAGTCCTCTTATGGTGCACCTGGTTTTGATTATTTTCATAGTTCTATCATTGTGCACCTCGTTTTGATTATTGTCATAGTTCTATCATTGTGTACCTGGTTTTGTTTATTTTCATAGTCCTGCATGGTGCACCTGCTTTTGATTATTTTCATAGTCCTCTTATGGTGCACCTGTTTTTGATTATTGTCATTGTTCTATCATGGTGCCCTGGTTTTGATTATTTTCATAGTCCTCTCATGGTGCACCTGGTTTTGATTATTTTCATATTCCTCTCATGGTGCACCTGGTTTTGATTATTTTCATAGTCCTCTCATGGCGCACCTGCTTTTGATTATTTTCATAGTCCTCTCATGAAACTCATAGATATGATTATTTTCATGATCCTTTCGTGATGCTCATGGATTTGATTATTTTCATACTCCTCTCACGGTGTTTAAAGCTGAATAGCTGTCATTCTAGTAGTAAGTGAACTCAGATAAAAAAATAAAATAGCATTTGAAAACGCAAATTAATTTAAACGTCTAGAAAATTTCATTTTGTGTTTTCTTTATATAAATCTATAAATCACTCATTTAAGAGTGCTATTCAATGCTCTTATTGCCTCTTTATCACTGGAATTAAATTCCTCATCTAAAGTCCTATTGTCCAATAGAATGGATGTGGGGTCTCAAGAGAATATGAAACCTTAAACGCATCAATAATTCGCTTTTAATCTCATGTTGTTTAATCTCACGTTTAATGTCATGTCTAAATATCCTTTTATTGTGCAAGATAATTTTATAGAAAAAATAATATGTAATTAAACCATTAAAGATTACAATTTTTTTAGCATTGACAAAAAAAAAAAAAAGCATTCGAAAACACAAATTAATTTAAAACGTATAGAAAGCTACCTTTTGTGTTTTTTTTTCTTTTCTTTTTTTTTATATTTTTTGTAATCACACTCATTTATGAGTGCTATATAATGTTCTTACTACTTCTTTATCACTGGAATTAAATTCCCCATCTAAAGTAAAATTGTCCGATAGAACGAATATGGGGTCTCAAAAGAATATGAAACCTTAAACGCATCAATAATTTGCGTTTAATTTCAATTATCATTTTCATGTGCAAGATAATTTTATAGAAAAAATAACTTATAATTAAACCATTAAATATTAACATTTTTTTTCTTTTGGCGTTGAAAAATATTACAGGATCTTATTTAATAAAATAAAGGTAAACAAAATTATTATTTAAGAAGATAATGTTTTAGATCTTTAGATTCGTAATTAGTTTTTTTTTTTTTTTTTTGCATGAAGATTAGAGTTATTATGAATAAAATGTATCAATTATA